CTGCCAACAAGAACAATCTTACAGCACTTCAAAAAAGATTCACATGAAAAGACCCCTGTTTCCTTTGGTATGTCACTTAAAATGCCATGCTAATTGGCTGCTTTGGACTTAAAGCATGTTTTAAATACTTCTATATGAGAGAGCATAACGCTTCAGTAAGCATCCTTCTTATATCATAAAACACTTGTGATGAAATAAAGGTAAATACAAAATTCACAATCAATATCTTAAGTATGGTACATTCTGCTGAGCCCTTTTGAGCCTTTTCCAGACGTACAGTAATTGAAAACAACCTACACCTATTTTGCCCTTCAATGGCTCAAATAAAAAATGAAAAACATTAACCAGATACTCAGCTTGACTTCAGATTTCAATGACAAAATGTATTTCTCACATCTCTGGATAAAGCTGAGAAAACATTGGGCACAGAAAAACATTTTTTTTAAATAGACATTCAAGTAGGGAACTGCATCAGCATGCATAGGCAGCAAAAGAACAGGTAAAGGCTCATTCTATGCTGATAGATAAAGAAAAGAGACACTATGTTTCAGCTGCGTAGGCTTCACAGCTGAAAAGCTGTTTCTTTTCTTTACCTTTCAGCATGGAATTAACCTAACCTTCTCAGATTTAAAGAGAGTAGCATCTCAGATATGATGCTCTTAGCAAGACCACAAGCATATGAGACTCATTTAGTCCATATTCTTTACTTTTTTAGACTAGAATTAACTTTGAGACATGGGTTTAAAAGATACATCCACAGACATCTGGAAATTTAAAACTGCAGTTGAGAAAAAACAAAAACAACAGCAATAATATGTGACAATTTGATTTTAACAGTGCCTGCATACAATTTGTACTTTTATAATGTATTTATTCTAAAGCATGTATTCTTACTTTCAAGAGATAATTTAAGATTTTTAAATCTTAAACATTCTTGGGAAATGTCCTCCAGCTCTTTGTATGTCATTATCCTAGACGAAGTTGTCGACCTTGATTACTTAATTGAAGCCTTAATTGAACTAACAAGTTGGGTGATGGGAATTTGTTTTATAAGATCCACCCCCAAAAATGTTTTAAAAGCTAAAAAAAAAACAACTCAGAGAGTTTACATTATTTGTATGCTTAAATAATCTAAGTTCAACTGTGTAACTGAGACTTTGGCAGGAAGAAAAACCACCTGGAGTGTCTGTCTACTTCCCTAGGTGATAAATCATAATGCAGAAAGACTATATTCTTTCAGTCTGCAACTGAGAATATTAAATACATATTCAAAAAATGAATGACATAAATTACAGGAGAACACATTAGAACAGTTTATGACTCATTTATGACTTTATAAAGTAGTCACCATGAATTAGACACTAACTATGCCATGCTGGGCATGAGAAAAATTAATCTCATTGCTATGCAAAGCAGCAAACACACAAGCTTAGCATCTCATGACAGATCTGTGAACAAGGGACAAAGACACTGTTTTCTTCACATGTACAGCAAAAAGTGGCTCAGTCTTCTAAGGCTTAGGCTTTGTTTTTGTTACTGTCTTAATGAGTTAATTAAATTATCTGGAAAATAAATTCAACCACCCTCTATTTTAAGGTTTTAATCAGTTGCTAATTAAAAGTTATAGCACCTGTCAAACCTGCAGGACTCTGGCCTTTGAGGGCTATAATTGCTATTTCTGTTGCAGTAAAGTGAGATGTTCGGATGCTGGCAGGCTATACTTAAAAATTTCCAAGCTCACATTTTATAATTCACTACCAACAAATTATCTAACAAGTGTTTTTTTTTCAGTCAGTATTGAAGATTAGCACAAAGATTAAAAGATTAGCACTTCTTTTCTTTTAAAAAAAACTGTTGTATCAGTTTTAATTTGCAAATAATGGACTCAAAACGTACATAAGAAATCATGACGCTTAAATAACTACATACTGTACAGTATGTCGCAACACAGTTTCAAAGGATTCAAGCCAAAACAGTAATAAACTAGTATTCGCAGCATTACATCGCAGAATAAAGAACGGTGCGTACAGTTACAAAAACTAGACAGAATTAATTCAAACTAAAAAGTTACAAAGTGTTAACGTGTCATACTTCACGTCAATTAATAAAAAACATTTTTTAGCTGTTTTATCGTGTTACTACTTCTACACAACTTCAGGTTGAGATAGTTGTATTATATTTTAAGTGCAAGATATGCTCTTTTTATTTCATTAATATAGTTTTTGCACGGGCAAAATAAAAAAAAAAGACACCTCTTGTGAAAATCCAGCTTTTCCGGAAATGTTGCAGTAAATCACGTCACTAAATGTAATGTAATTTGCAGTGACCAAACACAACGCATTTACAGTAATTACCTTTCTCTGGGCGGTTTATACAAAGTCTGTGTAACACCATTAACATTCCCCCGGACAACCGATCTACTATCTACAGAGCGACTTCACACACAACACAGTGAAGGAAACGCTGACCTCTGGTGGTTCATTATACAAGGAGGAGCGTGCGAGGAAGTCCGAAGCACTTGCACGAATAACTACAGCTATTTGAGTATGTAAGACGGAGATATAAATTACAGATATATATCATTAAAGATGTTCCAGGCCAACACTGTTTGAATAATTACGATATTATCGTCTGAATACTAGCCCATCTTTACGTATGATAAAACACCAAGGACATGACACACTTTATTATTCGTGTGTATTTGAAAGGTGTGTAATTTATCGTGTATAAATATTTGTGACAATCATGAATGCATTCACCCTCAGTATTTTAAATATAGTCAAGAGAATCAGAATTGAAACTGCCCTAAATTACCCTCTGACAGCAGGGATCTCCAATAATTTTTAAGCTGTGTAGATGTGTCATGACATAAATTTCGATGCTTCAGTGGTATGGTCCCATAAAAGGTTCCCTTCTATAACCACTGCCAAAGATGAATAAAAAGCAAGTCATGGCAGTGTTGGCTAGGCATGTCTTTAGATAGGTTAGTGCATTTATTCTTCTCTGTGCTCTTTAGCATGCTTTGCATTGATGAATAATTCATTCCCCAACATAAATATGCGATCTGCAAGAAAAAGACTTTGGTCACACTTCTTGTTATGTTTTCTAATTATCCCTGAAGGAAGGTTTAGTGCTAGCCTTTGGAGACTTGTGCTATTATCCACATTAAGTTGTTTATAAATATCATTGTGCAGCTTGTGAAATTTGCCAGCTTAATACACATAATAAATGCATGCCAAAGAAAGGTCTAAAAATTGATTTTAAACTGTTACCATAATATTACCTAATGTGTCTTACAAGGTCCTAAACCTTTTAAAAAACAATTTATTTGGACTTCTTGCTCTGTTTTTCCCTTGTAGCCTTTTAAAAGGTAGCATTCATGCATCACAGTTCAGTGGAAGGTCAAATAAGACATTAGGTCATTACTGATAGAAGACTGTTGGATGAACGCTTCAATTGTAGAAAGAAGACGAGGTATTTTCTAAAGACTTGATTTCTGCATCTATTCCATTATTACATCTTATAATCTGAAGCATCAAAAAGCAGCAGGGTGCGTTGCGATGGATATGACAGTTGCTTGACCATTTTGAAACGTATAATGAAATTTCGTGTCAAAGCCTCCTTAATTCTGCCATTCACTTTTCTTACTCTACTGGCTGCAGATTGTTCATTGTGCATTAGAAGCCTTGTTTTGTAGGTGTGCTAAAGATATAAATCATTGGTGGGCTTTATTTTGGCATTTTCTTAATTGAGAGATATCAGGGGCTAAAAGATTACAATTAAAAAAATTGTAACTGATGACTAGGGGGAAGTTTATACTTTAATTTTATTTTTATCCTTATGAAAGTCCCGAGTTTGAAAGAATTAGCCTGCACATTTGTATGAAACCTATTAAGCCAGAGACACATTTGATTACAGAAAAGAGTAATATTTCAATGATTAGCTATTCATGTTCACACCTCATACTGGGCTTTATTATAAAGTAAGCACTTGTTTGTTGTGAAAGTTTAATTATTTTTTCATACTTCAGAACCAAATTCAGACCATTTTTTCCCTCACCACATAAAATCCCTACTGCAAAGCAGATGTGTATGTAGAAATACACAACAAATCAGCAGGGTTTTGATGTGGTTGAAGCAGGTTCATACCACTCCCCAAGTCTACACAAGCTTGAGCTAGACTTTATAAAAATGGAAGTGCTACTCCTGTTCATTTTCTGAGGCTTTGTAAGTAACTTATTTTTGTTCAGAGATTTAATATCCTTCTGAATCACTGAGTGTGGTACATTTACTTGATATAAAGCCTTAGTTTGAAAGGCATGCCGGCAGATATTTACATTTTGTTTTATTAAAAAAAACAGGAAGAAAAATGTTTTTTTTTAATCCTATTTATTGTTTCAATAATGACATTCTTAAATACAGCAGTCATGGGTTGCTCTATTTCTCCAGATGTACAAGCCACAGGGAGAGTCCCAGTATGCCATTTCATGTCTGCCTCTAGGACTACATATTGTGGTGAGACAAGTTTTCACACTGTGGGAAGTCAGTTTTACAAAGTGAGGTTGAGTGGAAACTCCATCCTACTTGGCCCCATCTTTAATTTACACACGTATTAATGTTTAATACAATGCTATCAGAAAAAACAGCTTACCAAGATGTTTCAGGAGAAGGCTATTTCTGTTAGTTAAAAGGACAATCTTCCTCTATGGGATGCTTTTGAAATTGATGGCTTTTACATTGACATACTTGGTTTTCTATAGCCTAGCCTTAAAAAAGACTAGTCTTAAGAAATCCTACATGATTATTATATTTTTGGAGTTGTTCATCCTTGTTTTGAGAGTTTTAAAATGTTCATTCTCTCAGTAGAGATGTAGTAAGTACTGTAGGATGTTGAACAGAAAGCAGATGGAAACCTGTTGAAATTATACATTGCCCATTCCTTACATGTCTGCCTCAATAAAAATGTGAAGTGTTAAGTTGTATTTTTACTTTCATACTTCAAGTAGTGAAAAATGAAATGTTGCATGTGAAAAAAGTACAGTATATCTAGGAAAAATACCAAATAGGTAAAGTTAATGACAGAACATGGTGTCTGTCTTGTCGCTTTGAAAGGAAGTGTTTTTTTTTCCAGATGTTAAATAGACACCTCTAACTTATTACGTTCTCTTTCATTACCATCATGTCTGCAGGATGAAAAGACATGAAATTTAAAACATTCTGATGGAGGACAAAAGATTTTTCGATATTATGCCAATATCACAATTGGAAGCTTTATCACAGAAAGAGCCACAACAGAAGCTCTTTATTCAACACCTTTATGGTTCAAGGGAAGGCCAGCTTTGTATTATTTTCTAAGATGTTAGGTGAATCAAAATCAGCAGTTAAAGCTGACAAATAAAGTGTATGCAAGGCACAAGGGGAAAAGTGTGATAAGTACAGCACATTTTAAAATTGATCACTTCTTTAAAGAAAAAAAAAACAGCCTTGCTCCATTATGTTTATCTGCAGATATCTTTTCATGTAGTGAAAACTGTTTTACCGTGTCCATGAACTACTGAGGTAGCATATTGTATGTAAGAATGCCTTTCCCAATCCAAGCCTATCAGCAATCACAATCAACCAAAGACTTATGTTAATTATACAGTCGGAGGAATACTAATAGGATTACTAAGTCATTTATCAGCCCACAGTACAAAGCAGCTGAAGGCCACAATAGAGTACATTGCACAGAGCTGCAGGTTTTGACATTTTTCTGTTATATGTATATCTTTGACATTGGTTTCCATCACACCATAGGATGCATAAAATATCCATATGGTGTTGTTTACAAGCTGAAAGAGATGCAAATGCATAATAACGTGCCTGTGGATTAGTTATGGCTTTTTGCCATCCAAAGGTTAATAAGAATCCATCTGCCTAAAAGCAACTGGAATATAAATAACACAGAAATAACAGTGTTACATACGTACTATACGTACTGTACGTTTATCATCATTATATGTAAATTGACCGTTCAAAACATCTTTTTGTAAGGGAAGGATACGGATCTGTAAATTAATATTAAATGGTGAAATCCCTTACATTTTTAAGTTGACTAGATACATTAATAATGTAATGTGTTTCTCAAAGACAACCAGCTTTACATAAGGGAAGCCTCCATTGTATAAAAATGGAGCATCATACTTTATATTTAAATATTTAATTTAATAATTATAAAGCATCTTACTTTATAATTAAAAATTAAACATTGTCTTCTATGTGATTTTGGAAAAGCAACTTGATTTTATTTTTCTGCTTCTGTGTAAGAAGATCTGGAGTGATTCCAAGACAGTCTGTTTGTCATGCCTAATTTCAGCCCATCCAATCACTTGTTCAAACTTTACTGTTTAGACCAGTAAATAGAGTGAGAATCCTGTACAAGAAGTGTGATATTTTGATTGTTTTTTGTCCACTGGGACTGTCAATGCCATACAAATCACTTGTTAAAATACAGAGCGCTGTTTTGTGTTTGAACATAAATGCTCCAATCACCGAAGGTCTGAATTAATCAAATTTTTAAAATTATTCTTGCATGTGATTTTTACAATGTTTTTTACTTTGGTTACTTATCGTAAACATGTTCTTTTCTAAATTTCTAATTCTTGTTAACATATTTGAATGGTGTACATTTAGAAAATTATTAACCCTATATGATCACAATGCAGTAGGAAAAGGGAAAGTGGATACAAAATACCTTTCTATCACAATCAAATTCTAGAAGGAACACTTTGGCTTGCAGTAAATCTTGGTCTGCAAAAAATAGGCCTACATAGTGGTTTATTTTCTACCCTTTTTCCAGTGAGCATCTATTTTTATTTTCAGCTTCCTCATTTGACATCTTTAGTTTTTGTGTTCTTAAGTTGTTTCCTACTGAATGAAAAAACCTTGCATAAGATTTATTTTACTTTGACAGTCTTGTTGTGATGAAAAATTGTGTTATTAAATTACTTTCAGTTCCACAGCTGTAATCTTAGACTGCAATTTATATTATATTTCCAGATCATCTTTGACCTATTTCTTCTACAAACATTTTGTTTATATATATTATCAGACAGACAATATCCAGAGCTTTAGAAATCTAAAGGTTTTAGACCCTCTTTCTAACTTCAGCAAACTAATCCCTCTAATCCAAATTTCAACAAGTACATCAGAAATGAAATAAACCCATGAGGATTCGTAAGTAGATGACCCCTGTTTTTCTTTATTATTGCAGAGAAAGAGAAGGCAACATGCAGGTCACTTTTAATAAAGAGAGTCCTATATTTCTGACCAGCTTTATTTACAGAGCACATGCCACTTTTTTGCCTATGAAAAATTTGAAAACACTGTGCTTTA